TACCAACTGCATACTATATGGTATCTTCTTCGTTTTTAATTCATTTTTGAAAATGTTTGCACAGAGGGAACGAGTTCATCATGATCTATTGGATCTACAAATTTCTGGGTGAACAAATTACAGGTTCAAAAAATACCACACAATACCACCCTGGTACGGGGTGATATCTTGTGGTACACAATGTTAAAAGTCGTAAATGACAGTTAATATACTTCTACTATCATGTATTCAACCATCCTACAGTCTTGGTTTGTTCATACCACCATGGTACGCTTTTCAAATCATAGGTATGCTCTTATTTCAATACCAGTCAATATCATATGGTATAGACTGGTAATTAATGGCTCAATTTTATTTTGTTCCAAAAATATATCAAAGTGGATATCATTTTGAAGAGCACAATTAATTTGATCTAACGGTGAAAAAAAAATTAAATTTCGACTTAAAACGAGAGAGAAATCGTCCGTTAAAGATTAAAAGCAAAAAGATAAAAGGTTTTTCAGGAAAGAGAGGGATGCTGATGTCATGCTGATGTGCACGGCTTACTCATGGTTACTCACCATAAGGTTTCATTTTTATATTCTTTTTCCATCTTTATTTGTAAAAAACAAAAACATAATCAGAATTCAGAACCCGCCTTCCTGCGATAGGTCCTTTGCTTGGACATGAATCACTGACATGCCACTCTTTGTTGTCATGGTTCTGTCATCACCTATCCGTTATACATGTATGCATTCGGGTACTTAAAGTGGTTTGTTTATGTCTCTTTTATTGATTAATGATTTTTCAATCTTCATTTCTCTAATACTTATGCATAGGCTAGTTGTAATATAATGTATAGGTGTCTATGTTTTGATGCGGCACTCCCTATCTTTGTAAATTAACCATACCGTTGGTAGTATAGATCGTGTTTATGGAACCCATGCCTCTTTGTGAGGTTATTTGTTGATGTTTATCTAGTTCTTTTTCTTACGTTATGCTTTCTGGTGTTGTACAGGTGATCTCTCAGATGGTCAACGCGAATAATTCGGCTCATGTTTAGGGAGGTGCCATCCTGTAGAAGTTCAGGTGTACACGTTCATCTCTCCAGCGTGTTTCGTTTCATTTCGCGCCGTGTAGGTACAAAAGGGCTGCCCATATCGTGGCAATCAAGTCCTCTCATTGTTGGTTCAACAACTTGTTGACCAGAGCGCTTTACTTTTTTATTAGTTTGGCTTGCAAAGGTCTTGTATATTTTCGTATCTTGCTATTCCTTTCGGAATATCTATGGCAAAAAAAAAGTGGAGAAAAGAGATGTTTTTATGATTTATCTTAAAAGCTAACACCTAAATTTGAACACTTATGCATGTTGTTTATACTTTATATTCTAAATCAAAATAAATAGCAAAAAAACACAGTAAAAAAAATTAACTTCCACCTTAACATCATAAAAATGGACATAATTTCCTATGGCGTGTGGTTTATGGATTAAGTAGGGATGAAATTTGCAAAATTAGGATTGACCCGTCTCGTTAAAGAGTGAGGAGATTGGACGGTTAACACAAATTGAGAAATGGGTTGGATTCACAGTCTCTTATGACAATTCGTAATCTGAAGTGGACAAATAAATTAAATAACACATAATACATACCATCAATCAAATCAAACCATTTATAACAACCTATGGTCCGCACCAAATTGTACTGTCTAGTTTGATCCTTGTTTCTTCAAATGGTTCGGCCTATTTTTCGAGCCATAGTTGTTGGAGGCAAAATTTATTGTGCTCACAGGTGCCTAGAGGCGTTGGATTGGGAGCGGACGATCAGTAACACTTGAATCCAAATGGGGGCAACTTATTTATAAAATTGTCACTTCTTTAATACTATGATTGAGGATCGTCCACGTCCAACTTAACAGCATGCGTGTAAGCACGTTTTTATAAGACACCTATTAGCACCATATATAAACGGATTAAGCGAATTATGGATAGTACCAACCAACCAACACCAATAAATAGAGACCAAGTTGGACTCTTGGTTGAACATGCGCTTAGGGATGGCAATGGGTCGGGTTGGGTCAGGTTTTGCCAAATCCAAACCCAAATCCATGGGTTTATCTTTGAAAAAAACCCGAGGTAAAACCCACTGGGTTTGAAAAACTCAAACCCAACCCAACCCGTTGGGTATCTGCGGGTTCATGGGTACCCACGGGTTTTGTCGTAAAAAATTTACAATTACAAGTTCTTATCAAAATTAAAGTCAAATATCAATCTCTCAATACAAATTATCCATATATAAAACACCATTCTAGAAAATTCAAGCAAATCACAAATTAACTATACAAATGGTTCAACACCAATCTAGAAGAAAACTCAAAAAAATTGAAGCAAATCACATAAATAACATGTTTAATTGAAAGCTTCTTCCTTTCAATTAAGTTTCTTTACTCTCCACTCCATAACATCAACTTCATTCTACACAATTAAAAAGAAAAAATTAGACATGTCTCCACAAACATAAATAAGATTAGTTGTTTAGAATATTAAATATACCGAAAAAATTAATTATATGGGTGGGCGGGTACCCACGGGCCGGGTTTACCTAAACCCAAACCCAACCCAACCCGTTGAATAGTGAACGGGTTTAAACCCAAACCCGACCCAAAACCGTCATCACAGATTTTACCCGCGTTGACCGGATTGGGTCGGGTGGGTACCCGTGAGTTCGGGTTTTGTTGCCATCCCTACATGCGCTGGCTGGAGACGTGGTTCGGGGAGTTCCTTTTAAGCTCATTTCAGTATTTCACTTCCGCCGACAATATATAAGCTCGTCAGAAGATACGAAAGGGTAGATAATGGACGTGCGGCGTGCCTGCCTCACGTCAAACCCGTTAAAAACAAGTTATGGTGATTTAGCCAGCCCACATACTGCAGGCCCATTCAATAGTTGAGCTATGAGCCAATTAATTGCCTCCGTATTGTAAACTCTTAACACAAACCCAAACTCAAACCCAGCTAACGAAATTGTCTTTCTGGACTTTCTTAACTGGGCCGGCAAAAGGTTCTTGCTCAGCTCGACTAGTTTCGACCCGCTGAGGAGTGAGGACCTCCCCGAACAGTTACAACTTACAAATCCCGGTGGGTCGACTCCCGGGCGGTCCCGATCCGACCTGCCTACTCCCACTTTACGAAGTTGTTAGAGAGAGTAAAATACATCGGGTATCACTAAAGTTTGAGAATTGGTGGATGTATACCATTTAACTATGAATAGGGCATCGGATACCACTGAACTCTATTACATGTGCACCCGATACCACTTAAATTTACTACTAAGTGCATTCCGTTAAAGTTGACAGAATATTTTTAAAATATTCCATTTTCTAAATTTCATAATTGGTACTTCAACTTTTCTTATTGTAAGAAAATCATTTGGACTCATGAAAAATATCATTTGTTTATTTTTTTAGTTAGATTCTAATAATTGAATAATTTGCTGAAGCAAATTATCCTATGAATTCTATCTCGATATAAATAATATAAAGATGTTATAGTAAGTTCTCTTACACCATGCTGATGTTATCTAATTTTATATGTTAAATCTCTTTTTAATTCTCTAATATTATATTGTAGATGTTCCGTATTAGTTAAATTTAATAATTCTAAATCTCTTCCTATATTCATATTTTCTTTTCTACATTTGTTATTGAATGTTGTAGCTTTTATAGTTTATTTATTACTTGGTTACTTTTCGTATCTTTTCGTTCTATATTTTTTTTTCAATTACTGGAATATGTTTAATTATTTCTTATTGTGTTTCTTTTATCCTTCTTTGGTCTTGATGTATTGATAATCGATTAGGTTCTATTTTAACTCTTCTAATGGTCTTTCTAATGGAATTAGAGATTTAAATAGATCTTCTAATATTGATTTTAAATATTTATTATTATCTTCTAGTATATTTATTATTATTCTTGATATTCATATATTATTTTTACTAATTTATCTATTTTATTGAAAAAAAATTGATTAGCCATTCTACTAATACTATGTTTAGATGGTATTCTAATTTTTATACTAGATAAAACTGGTTGAAAACTTGAAATATAGGTTTGGATGTTTTTAAAAGTTTTGGGTACCAAAAAATAATTAAAATTTTGGGTTGGATGGAAAACTAGATGGAGACACATTTTAACAACTTTAATGGTACCCGACACCCTATTCAAACTTAAGTGGTATGTCTACTCCAATTCTCAAACTTAAGTGATATCCGAAGTGTTTTACCCTTAGCTTGGGCACACCGTGGGTTTTTATAAGATTTCAGATCTTACAAATTCTTCTGTAATTTTTGCACTTCTCGTTATTGTGACATTGATGGTAGTTACTTTTTTTTTTATAATCGAACACGGACTCCGTCAATCGACGATCAGGATCACTAATAGTTGTCCTAAAGGGGTGTTACCAGCGTGGGAACCCAACGCATTTGCCCGGAATCAAAACCGAACCTGGAACCTCCAAGTTGTAAAATGATTCCCAACAACAAGCTTACCCATATATATTAAAAGATAATTTGTAAAGTATAAATATCGTTCAAACTATTCAAAAACATCACTTCTATGATTCTTATACTCAATTCAATTTTTAAAAGTGCTCTCCACAGCAGGAAAAAAAAAATTATTGTTGAATAGAGCAAATAAAGTTGTAAATGAGAATTAGTACGAATGCAGGTACCAAACCGACCACTTTTTATTAATTTACTAGTACAGCAGTCACACACACGACATGGTGATATACAAATTCAATACAACGTGAAGGCAAATCGATGAGATCGAGTACTTCCGGCGGCCGGCGGGAAAGCAAAAGAGAAGAACAGACGTCGACGGAGAAGAAACACACTGACGATGCTGCCTGCGCATCCACGGGGCAACCTTACGTAGGTAGAGAGCTAAGTACGTGGATGCATGCATGCATGCATCCATGCAGAGAAACAGAAACGACAATTGACAACTATAACGTTTTAATTAGTTTAGAGCAAAGCTTGGAGAGCATTCTTGAGGCTGGCGACCTGCTTATCTCTGGCAGCAAGCTGATCGTCTTTCTCCTTGGCCTGCTTCTTCAGCTCATCGATCTGCTTGTCCTGCTCGGCCCGAACCCTCTCGCTCTCCTCCTCCTTCTCCTCCAACTCCTTCTGCTTCTGCGCCGCCCCTTTGTTGTCCACCATCAGCTTCCCGCTCGCCACCTGCTGGAACCGGTCCCACACGGTCTCGACCGGGGCGGGGACGTTGACCCCGTACTTGGACCAGTCGAAGAGGTCGTTGAGGCGGCGCACCTGGCTCCTCCCTTCCCGGAGGTACATGTCGCCGGCGCCGACGTTGAAGTACATGACCGTGCAGCCTTCCCTGTTGGTCACCGCCTGGAGGTTGATGAGCTCCGTGGAGAGCTCCTCCAGCTTCGACCCGCCGATGACCGTACCGAACACTTGGAGCTCGCGGTGGGTCGACGCGGAGTTGTTACCGACCCGACCCGCGTGCTTCCAGTTCACCATGTCGTTGGTTATGGTCTGGGTGTTGAGCTCCCACTCCGGGTCGAGCACCCGGATCGTGCGGTCGCTGACCGGCAGGAGGAACAGGTTGTTGGAGTTCAGCACCAGACGAGACATGTCTTCCTTTCTTAATCTCTCACTTGTTCTTGTTCTTGACTTGTAACGGTACGAATACCAATGGGTCGCATTAATATAGTAGCATTACAACCCGAGTGTCGGCCATTTTTTTATGTAATGTATAGAGAAAACGTGATCCACATGGACGTGCCGACCCGATAAAATTAAATCTTTTCTTTTGAGTATAAAAGCAACGACATGGTCAGGAATTAAATCTTTCATATTACTTTCCCTCTATACATATCAAGCATAATTGATGCAGTATTTAAGGGGAAAGTAGTTTCGTTATCATTTATATTTCTAGTATAGAATGGGATAATGAGAAATTAGTATTGATCATGATACTTAGTATTTGTGTTAAGAAATTAGTGTGCTTTAGAGGGCCAGCAGCGTAATTGTGGAGGGGGGACTGATTGAGGGCCACGTGGGGGGCGTTGAAGTGAATAATTATCCTTCCTCCTTATAGTTATCTAAAGGCACTGTTCTAGAAAGAAAATGTGGAATATTTAAATCCTTTTTAATCCCATATTTAAACCCAAAAGCTATGAGGTAGCATATTTTGAGATTAATCACATACCCAAATGTCTAAATATACAAACCACATTGTCAGTGGCGTAGTCAGACTTTGAATTGATTGGGGTCTTTAAAATTTTTAAAACGTTTTAGTATGTGTATCTAATATACCCTGAGTTGATTGGTGTCCTTAGATGAGCTAACATCAATAAAAGTATGGAATCCTAAATACAAAAGATCATACTAAACCCTACGTATCTAAAGGGTTTTGTTGCCCCGTTTTTTCCCAAGTGGAGTCCTCAGTCCTAGGACGGTAGGACCCCTCTCCTCTACATGTGGCTCCGCTACTGCACATTGCAGTGGTTAGCAGTTGTGGGCGACTTGTTGCGATTAACTACAAAATAGAATCACCCAAATCATTAATTAGTTCCTCAGTATTTTTCATATTCATATCTATATATATGGTGCCTTCTACGGTACCCCGGGTGAAATCCGGGGTACCGCATACCTTGAGTATAAAAACGCTATCTAGACTTCGAATTAGCAGGATTTTTGGGCATGATACTATATCCTAACTTTAATGAATGAACCCTAGGTCCTGATTATCTAAATCATAAACTATAAACCATAAGACGGTGCATTGAATTTTTTGCCTATATTTGTACGAATCATAACCATCGATTATTTTTTCTAATTAAATTAATCTTGGGGTATAAGATTTAGAAAATTAAGACCTAGATTTTGATTTTAAGTGTTAGAGTATAATATCATGTCCGAAAGATCAGTCAATTCAAGTTCTGGATAGCGTTTTCTTACTCAAGATATGCGGTACCCCGGATTTCACCCTGGGGACCGTAGAACTCCCCATATATATATATAAAGTTTGAAGCATTTCATCACAGGAAAATTGGCTGGCAAAATTTTGGAGGTAGATATAATATTAGCCTCGAAATATATATTTTCTATAAATATTATTATGTAGTACCCCATAAGCAAAACATATAAATTTGCCTTTACAAGTATTATCATCGGCCTCTAATAATGTTATCCTTTTTAGATATTAAAATTTAGTTTTGATGAATTCTAAAATTTAAAACCAGATTTATAATATTGTCCTTTAAAGTTTTGTTGATGGACTTTTAGAGGCAAATAATTATTTTTAACCATAAAATAATTGTTCTTTCTTCCTCATTATCGCGCAACGTATAATTACTATTTGTCAAATTCAAATTTTTAGAGGAAAAATTATAAGTCTCTATTATATTAGTAATAATTAATTTCTAGCGACTAGTAGTATTGGGTTTATGTAAGGCTTTCTCGTTAATATTTACTCCAAATAAGTTATTATTTCCATAAACCTAGATCTGGCACATTTATTCCTTTGTAGAATCGAGAGTTAGTGAAGAGGTGCTCTTTAGGATTGTTTTCGTACCACTGTATCATGATATGACAGTTGTATGATGACAAATTTTCTTTTATTTTAACTCAAAATAAAAAAATTGTATGAAAAAGTACATTAATTATATATGATATTCATTTTGCTTTAAATCAAGAACAAAAAATCCCATCTTATAATATTTATCGATGTTATATCATACTACTATAATAAATCTGACAAAACAATTATAATAATAGTGAGTTAACTTTTCCAAAATAATAAAACTGACAAAAATATCCCATCTTTTAATTATTGCCTAAGCCCGCAAGGGCAGCGGTGGAAGCCCAGCCTGCTCCTTCTCCTCGTCTAGCCCATAAACGGTCCACTCATCAAGCCCGTCTGATCTTCTTAGTTCCAACCAAGCTGACTGACCTCTTCTTCTTTCTTTCCTTTTCTTCTGGCCGACAGGTTTAGGCCCAATCCGAGGAGCATACTATTGATTAGCTTTGAAGAACTCTTGTGGGTTATTTCTCTCTTCTTGTACTTTTCACGAGAGCGGATCCAGTGACTAGGGGTGCTTAGTCACTTGACTAAGCCCCTCTCAGCCTTTAGATCTGGACACTTCAATTCAATAGTTAAAAAGTGGGAAGAGCTATTTAATTAATGATAGGGGTAGTTTGGGTATTATGGAAAATTACGAAGTATACAAACCGGATTTACAATCAGTACAAACCATACAAACATACGAACAGTACAAACTAGAGCGACAAAACATACAAACAGATTTACAAACATTACAAATGTATGAACTGTACAAACAATACAAACTAGACCGACAAACAATACAAACCATACAAAAAGGAAAAAACAACCGGGTTGACTTTGGAGGCTCCATCCCTATATAGAGGGGCTCCTTCCCAAAGTCAACCCGGGTGTTTTTTAGACATACAAACAGTACGAACATGGTGGACAAAAATGACAAACTAGACCGACAATCCATACGAACGGGAAAAAACACCCGGGTTGATTTTGGAGGCTCCATCCCTATATAGAGGGGCTCCTTCCCAAAGTCAACCCGGGTGTTTTTTAGACATACAAACATTAAGAACATGATGGACAAAAATGACAAACTAGACCGACAATCCATACGAACTGGAAAAAACACCCGGGTTGACTTTGGAGGCTCCATCCCTATATAGAGGAGGTCCATCCAAAAGTCAACCAGGTTGTTTTTTAGACATAAAAAACATTACAAACATGATGCACAAAAATAACAAAGTTTACAAACATGGTGCACAAAAATAACAAAGTTTACAAACATTACAAAAAAACCCGACAAACATTACAAAATAACAAAGCATACAAACATTACAAAATATGTCAACAAAGATCACAAAATTAGCACTGTCGCCGGGAAATTCTTCTCCGGCGACGATGTTCGCCGGAAAAAAATTTCCGACCAGAAAATCTCTCTCTCTCTCTCTCTCTCTCTCTCTCTCTCTCTCTCTCTCTCTCTCTCTCTCGTTGCATTTGGGGGAAACGACAAAGGAATAAAAATCCCCAGCTTCTCTCTCTCTCTAGTAGTTAATTGCAAGACGGCGAACAGCGTGCCGGGAAGCGACACGGTGCCGGCGCTGGCACTCCCGAAAGCCGACAGCGCGATGGCGTAGCCCGCCCCGGCGTTGTACTGGAAGTGGACGAGCCCCTTGGGGAAGACGAACATGTCGCCGACGTGGAGGGCCTGGGTGTAGAGCTTGCCGGCGGTGTCGACGAACCCGACCTGGAGCTCGCCGTCGACGATGAAAAGGAGCTCGACGGCGCGTGGGTGTGTGTGGGGAGGGCTGGCGGTCCCGTTGGGGAAGAGGAGCGTGGCGTAGGAGACGCTCTGGCCGCTGAGGGCAGGGAACTCGGCCATGGTGGCCTTGACGACTTTGAACTTGTCGGCCGGGAGCTGGGTCCCGTTGACCAGGAAGCCGAAGCCGGTGAAGGTGAAGAACGAGCCGTCGACGGTGGCGTTTGGAGGGGACCCAGCTTCTCTCTCTCTCTCTCTAGTAGTTAATTGCAAGATTGCAATTCAAAGCTCTCTCTAAGATGCCGGAAAAAATCCCCCTTCCGCCGGCGGAGAATTCCATAGCCAAGAACCCGCAGCGGGAGGATGAAGGACAGGCTGTAATTTTTATTTATTTTAATTGTTAAATAATTAAATAATGTAATTACCACTTTATCCCTCATTAAACTAGATAAATCTGAACCATTAGATTTTAATGAGGTTCAATGGCTGAGATTGGCTTAGTCATGTGATTAAGGGACCCCCCTTAGTCACCTGATCTTAGCCCTACTTTTCACAAACGGCTGTACCCAATATCGAAACTACCGAAAGTAAATATTATTTTATTATTTATTTTAAAAAACGTGTAAAATATCTCAAAATAAATTATATTGTTAAATTACAAAAGAAAAAATATAGAGAGAGAAATTTGAAAATAACGTCTACTAATCTTAAAATAATAAAAAAAACAAAATAAAAGTGTAAGCAGTAAGCGCTATAGGACACAAATGGTGTCGCTTGTAAGTAGAATAACACAATTCATCTCAATACATAACTTGTCTAATGCAATCCGGTATAGAATAGAATGTGAAGACACAAAACATAAAATCCCAAAATCATCTAATTCAGTTTCCCTAACATTCCCATTCCAATGAATATTTGGGTCTTCCAACGACCAACATGTCTTATAACCTTTTGAACAATAATTCATTCATCAATTACGATTTTGATCTCATCATGCAATTATCAAGATTCATGATTAAACACTAATTACACTATGAAATTCCATTTTCTCAAATACTTACGAAATGCACAACAAAAGAACAACCACAAAATGATAAAACACAATCGTTCGTCACTGTCGGCTATAAATCCACGAACTCTTTCCCCCTCACGTCATCACATCGGCTCTAAATTTCTTTTGTCCTTTTCGTTAATTTCCCATTAATTCACTCTTTTCCTATTTTCGTCCCAATATTTCACAACTAAGCAAACAATCAAAATAAAAACAACAAGACAAAAACCAAAATTACTATTTCCCTTTCTTATTTATTTTTATTTTCATTTTCTTCCCCTTGTTTGACACACCAAGCAGAGTTTGCAGGCCATCACATTTTGTCACGCTACCTCTCACCCGGAGGCGCGTGTGTTACACCGCCTCTTCCTTCCCTTCGCCGCCACCACCGTCCTCCGTCCCGTCAATTAAAGGGAAGAAAAAAATTAAGAGGAAGAAGAAGAAAAGGAAATTCAATAAAACTGGGACTCTATTTTTTTCTCTTTATTTTTTCTTCCCAATCTTTTCATCCTTTCTCCCCCAATTTTTTCCCCCTTTTCCATTTCTCTTCTCTACTCTGATTAACATGCACAATCTCCTCTACGCCATGCCCGCTTCCTCTTCTCCATCTTCCTTCTCAAAACCCTCCAAATCTTCTGCCTTCCCAAACCCTACTGCATCGCAGACTTCCCTCTCTTCCTCGTCATCCGTTCTTCTCTGCAAGCACTCTCCATCGGCGACTCTCGACCTCCTAATCCTGATCCTAGTCCTCTTCGCCGGCACTTTCCTCATCACATCTTACTTCTCCTACATCTTCAACTCCGTCTCCCTCCTCCTATCCCATTCGTCAATCCAGGTCTCAATCCAGCTCCCGCCGGCGTCCTACGTCTGTGGGTTCCTCGCCTTTTTCCTTTTCTCGGTCCTCTTCCTCGAGTTCTGCTGCGGGCCGAGATCTCGAAAGTGCGACAGGCCGCGATGCAAAGGGCTGAAGAAGGCGATGGAGTTCGATTTGCAGCTGCAGACCGAGGATTGTGTGAAATCCAATGGCGCCAAGGAGATCGATAAGTTGCCGTGGAAAGGTGGGAATGAGAGGAACCCGGATTATGAGTGCTTGAGGGCTGAGCTCAGGAAGATGGCTCCCCCTAATGGCAGGGCAGTTTTGCTCTTCAGGGCTAGGTGTGGATGCCCCGTCGCTAAATTGGAAGGCTGGGGACCTAAGCGAGGCCGGCGGCATAAAAAGTGAGTTACTTTCCTGTCTGTGGATTGGATTGGATTGGATTGCTCCCCTCCTTTCAATCAGATCGTTTGTTGATTGGATTCGATGGGTTTCGAATTTGTTGTTTCGTTTGGTTCCTCTAATGGGGAAATTTTAGTGATTGGGTGTGGATAATTTGATCGCATGAAAACCCTAGTTCTAAGATTTGGGCAATTGCTGTTATGACTGCCGTCATCTGAGAGTCATTGGTGATTGAGTTGGATTGAATTCTGAGGGCGATGCCAATTTTTCATATTGCGGTCATGCTTGGTGATGGACTTTATTCATGCTTCTCTGGTTGGCCATTTGCAGCCAAACAGTGGTAGAAGTCTGCTTCTTTTCCTCCTCCCATTTGGGTTGCTTCCATGTCTCTTGACTTGACTTTCCTGAGGACTTAGAGAGCTATTTTAGACGTAATGAGAGATGTAGTCAAGGTTTGCATTTTACTCGTTGCAGATGTTCATATTATTAGAGATCCTCTGCTACCATCTTCTTGGTCTCACAATTGTGAACTACTTCTAGTTTGTAAGCTTGGTTAGTGATGGAAACACTCTGTACAGGTCGCTCCTATGGGGCAGAAATCAAACATCGTTTGAACATGCTAACAAGTCATGCAGTTGCAAGATGATATTGCTGAATGCTGCTTGTTCATGGCAAGAGCTTAGCTAGAATAAAATATTAACTCTTGCCCAGTCCACCATGGGTGTGGAACTTATGCTGTTTTCTTCCCTCTTTCTTTAGAATGATCAAGCTTTTGAGGCTCTGGATAGCGACTCTGAAAAGCTTTAGTTTTTTCATGGGTTAGTAAGTCGATATCATTCAATATTGACAAGACTGCGCGGTCAATATGGATTGTCATTTGTCAATACCGATGGAAAAAAAGATCAATATAGGTCCTTTCTTCTTAAACTAAAAGGATCTTCCTCTACAATTGATGATCCGGGGTCAGTACCAAAGATTGCAACCGATGTTGGGTTTGTCATGTCCAAACTTGTGCTCTATCAGTGTGTTATACACTTGCTTTGCCCTAGAATATTGATTGTTTCTCAGGGAAACTTCACCAATTTGATGTTTCCTCAGAGAGCACAGATGAATTGAAAACTCCTAATGGCACTGGATGCTTTCAGGAAGGATGAATTGTGTGGAACCCAATAGTGGTTTTGATGGCATGAGATGCAACTTTGTTGTCTTGTTGAGAAAGAATGAACTTGGTTCTCCTAGTATAATCAATGTTCAAGGCATACCAGTGATACTGCTTCGTGTAGTGTTGGTTATCAGCGCCTTCTTTTTTGCTACCCAAGAGCGGTAATCAGTTGAATGCTCTGTTTGCAATGAACTTCACCAGTTATGCAGATTCTTGTTTTGCTTTATTAGTTTAGAGAATTAAGCGGCACTAATGAGTCTCTTACTGAGTGCTCGGTAAAGTTTCTGCGGCATCTAAATCTACTGAATTTAGCATTAGTCGACCAAGCAGCTCTTTGCTGTTTGCATAACCACCCTGCTCGTAATGATTGTTATTGTTGATTTCTTTGACCGCTCATTTTGAGAACAGCTAAAATTTCAATGATATATACTGGCTGGGATAGTATGGTGGAGTTTACTTCAGAGTAAGTGTGTTTGGCACTAGGCCAATGGCCCAATGACGAAATTAGTTGACTGGTTGGCTAATATGAAGTAGTGCACACATTCAGGCACTCATCCAGCCTTTATTCTATTCTCCCTTGTTTATCCCGAGTACCTTGAAATTGCGAAGAGGCGGAACACCCTACCTGGTAGATTTGCCTTATCCGCCTCTGATTCATCCCCTTGGATTGACTGTTGATAGGAAGATCCCCTATTTCAGAAAATTGGACATCAAGCAATATGTGTTCTATCGATGTGTTAGATTTGCTAGTACATATGGAAGCATTTCTTACTAGAGTTGTATGTTTGAGGGAAATTCCTTTGCTATTTGATTGATTTTGTCAACATCCAGTGGTCAAACATATGTAAATTCCCCTAGGAACCTCAAGTACTTCTGAAATCTCTGATTCCATGACATGATCACTGCATGCTTCGAATGTTCAAGCCAAACTTGAAATTTCTGATGTTTGTGCATGATCTTTTAATTGTATGTCGAATGTCCCCGAAGAGACAATCTTTTGATTGTAGAAAGTAGCAAGTAATTGGCAAAACTTCTTGTTGTTGATTAACGCTACATCACTAAGCTTCCATTTCATGACAATATATTAGCCTAATCATTCAACTGCGTTTTCTCACGACATGACACTTATAAGTCACTCTGCTTGGGACCTGTTGCAGGGCTCTGGCTAACGTGAGTGCAGCAAACAGGGATCTCCATCGCTGACAGATGGCGGTGGTTCGGATGAAGAGCAGGCTCCTCCTCTTCCTATTATACCCCCTGGTTTAGATTCTAGGAATCCAGTTCTTTGCTATCTCTTACATAGACTATACAACTCTAGAACAAGAGAATGCTTCAGGATCTACCCGATGAATCTCAGTATACTATTTTCTTTTCCCGCCTGCTCTTGAAGACATTTCTCTTGTTTCTGGATAGAAAAGATACAAACTTTATAGACTTGGTCATTCAATTCTGGAACTGGATCCATATAGCATTGTCAATGGGAATAAAATAAACTATGATTCATCATCATAAATTCCATATACAGCTTCTTCTGAATCAGAAGTTCAAATTTTCCGCTTGCTTGTCTGGTACGGTTAAATTTTCATTGTAATGTTCCGCAGTAATGGCAACTCCGAGAAGTTCAAGCTTCAAACATGGCGGCCCTTAATAAATGGCTCTCTTATCTCTTGGGCCTGGAAGATAGCGATTTGGGTAATCAAATTTCTCATGTTGCAGTCTCATGATCCTCTCGTCTTGCAAACCCGCTTTTCTACGTCGCCTCACGAGCTCTTGTTTGCCTGCTCTACAATGTTTTGCCTCCGGAACTATCTTCATCCGCAGTTCAATTCACGGTCTCCGATATGGAGCTGGTTCCAGTTCCAGAGACGACCAACAAGCCTCCAATCACGAGCTTGCTTTGGTCTCTGCTCTGAAGTTATGTTGTATCAATTTGGATGTTTCTCGAGGCAGGGGAATCCATGGCCTGGTTATGAAATCCGGCTTGGAGTCTAACAACTTCGTGGAGAACAGCTTGATCAACATGTACGCCAAGTGTGGGTGCTTGGGCGATGCGCAATCAATGTTTGATTCGTGTGCGAAACTGGATCCTGTCTCCTATAACATTATGATAGCAGGGTATGTGAAATCTGGGGAATTGAATGAAGCCCGCAAGCTGTTTGATATAATGCCTAAAAGAGGCTGCATTTCATATACGACCATGATCATGGGTTTTGCACAAAGCGGCTTCTTTTGGGAGGCATTTGAGGTTTACAAACAGATGAGAAGTGCTGGGGTGCTCCCGAATGAAGTGACGATGGCAAGCTTGATACCCGCTTGTTCGAGCTTGGGCGGGATCAAAGTCTGTAGAATGCTTCATGGGCTGGTCATCAAGATGATATTCGATCAGCTGGTCCTTGTTTCCACTAATTTGCTACGCATGTATTGCCTGTGTTCCAGTTTAACAGATGCCCGAGCATTGTTCGATGAAATGCCAGTGAGAAACATCTTCACATGGAACGTAATGCTGAATGGATATGCTAAAGCTGGAGTTATTCATATGGCTCGAGACGTGTTCGATAATGTTCCAGAGAAGGATGTTGTATCTTGGGGTACCATCATTGACGGTTATATACGAGTACACATGTTGAGTGATGCTCTTTCGATGTACCGATCCATGGTATCCTCTGGTGTAGAAGCTAGTGATGTTATGATGGTCGACCTGGTTTCTGCTTGCAGGAAAGCACTAGCAATCAGCGAGGGCCAGCAGCTACACGCGATCCTCGTGAAGAAAGGTTTCGACTGCAACGATTTTATCCAGGCAACAGTAACCCATCTCTATGCAGCTTGTGGCAGAATCAAGGAAGCTTGTTTGCAGTTTGATCAAGGAATTAAGAAAAACATCGCGTTATGGAATGCTCTCTTGTCAGGTTTCGTGAGAGTCCAGATGATTGACCAAGCAGCTAAGTTATTCAATGAAATGCCAGAAAGGGATGTTTTCACTTGGAGCACAATGATCTCTGGTTATGCACAGAGCGAGCAGCCAACCATGGCATTGGAGTTATTCCATAACATGGTTGCAGCTGGTATCCAACCTAATGAGGTGACTATGGTGAGTGTGTTCTCAGCAATTGCTTCTTTAGGCACTATGAAAGAAGGCATCTGGGCTCATCGATACGTAGTCAATAGCTATATACCTATTAACGACAATCTGAGTGCTGCACTCATAGACATGTATGCGAAATGTGGGAGCATACCCAATGCGTTGGAAGTGTTCCATCGAATCCGTGACAAAGCAGCCACTGTCTCACCCTGGAACGCCATCATATGTGCTCTTGCCATGCATGGTCATGCGAATCTCTCTCTCGAGATATTTTACGACCTGCAAATGCGAGGCATCCAGCTCAATGCAATTACATTCATTGGGGTTCTCAGCGCCTGCTGCCATACTGGGATGATGGAGCTTGGGAAGAGATACTTCGAGAGTATGAAATCAGCCCATAATGTGAGCCCCGATATCAAGCATTATGGCTGTATGGTGGATCTTCTGGGGAGATCCGGGCAGCTCGAAGAAGCAGAGAAACTGATTAGGAGCATGCCAATGGAAGCCGATGTGGTGATATGGGGCACGCTGTTGGCTGCTTGTAGGACTCATGGCAACGTGGATGTAGGAGAATGGGCTGCGGGGAATCTGGCGAGGCTTGAACCATCCCATGGCGCCAGTAGAGTTCTTCTGTCTAATCTGTATGCAGATGCAGGGAAGTGGGAAGATGCGTTTTCGGTTAGGCAAGCTATGCAAAGCAGTAGAATGCTGAGATTGCCTGGCTACAGTGGTGTTGTTTGATTGCTTTGCTTCTTGTAATTGATACCTCTCCTGCCTCGAATTATAGTCCACAGAAACAGATTTCTGCACACAGCTATAGTCATGTACAAATCCGCATGAATGGAGAGATGCTGTTGTAAGATTTTATCAGTTCAATAAACACCTTGGATTTGACTTGCAGGTCGTTTGGCTTGGTTGGATGTATCTGGGAAATCAAATTTTGCAATTACATGCGATTGAGCAATTACATCGTATTTTCATCATAAATGCACTGAACTAAACTATATTGGTTTCAAATACATCTCATTGGAAATTTACAATACAATTATACAAATGCACCAAAACAAATACCGAACCAAACACCAAAACATTGTTGCTCGCTTGGACTTGTATTTGAACAAAATCTCATACCTAAGACTGTACAAAGATTACTGCACAAAATTCCTGACTACAGCATGTCTTATGTTAAATCTGCTATGAAACCTATAAAGATTTCCTGCCTACAGCAAGACATGTTAAAAAAGGAAAATAACGGGCTACTGGCACGAAGGTTACTCAAAAGAAAAATGGAGAAAAAGAATAGAAAATTATTGCATTTCAGATATCAATTCAGCAGCAGTACCCATGGTGTTCACCCCACCAGAGCCAAGCAAAGCTAGAGCAAGTTCCTCTTCATTCCACTGTCTCAAACCTTTGCTAAGTCGTATTAGAACATCCGGCTCCAAGTCAAGCACCCATTGAGGTGTGCACCCCACCATCAGGCTCACGAAACCCGACACATACGACTTCCAAGTTGCACTGTCACAGCCAAGAGAGATTTTGCCATCAAGGGCACTAGCCAGAAACTCCATGTGAGCCCTCAGGACTTTAGGGCGCCTCTTGGAAGCCAAGCATGAGTTACCTATCCCCCAAGCAAAAGCTCCACAGAGCACAGCGAAATACGCTAGTGCATACCCTCTCAGCATAGCAACCATCCCTCCAAGGCTGCCGCCATCTTCTTCTCCCTGTTCGGAGCGATAACTAGAAATAAACCAAGAGGGCAAGGTCTCTTTGAACAGTAGTTGAACCAACCCTAGCCCACCAGATAAACAAACTAGAGATGCTCCAAGTGAAGCTGCAAGTTTGACTCTTGTCATTGCTGCAGCAAGTGACACTTGGCCACACTGAAGTCCATTTCTGGTCCTCTTCAGCTTCCCTAATCTCTCTTTTGGAAGCCCAGTGCATGCAACTTGTGTCACGGAGTGCATCATGAGAGAGATGATCTCTTCTGTGATGAACTCAATGTCTCTGATCGAATGGTAGACTCTCAAGTAGAGGATTCCTGGAGCTACTGGGGATATGCCACCACAGAAATGAGAGCCAAAGCCATGACCAAGAAGTGCTCCAACTCCACCATTGCTTGAGATGGATGCACCGCTGAGCGTAGCAGCAAAGCAGCTTTTGAGGAGCTGGAAAACTGCATCATTGCTATGGAGGAACACCGTTCGTGATGCTGAGAATACAAGAAAATCAAACCATCGTTTGGCCTTCTGGGTCCATAAGGAAGCCACGATTGGCATGCATGGCCACGGGCACCCTGCTGCAAGAGATTCTAGTGCTGGACCAGCCAAATTGAGGAATCTTTCTGAGGTTTTGTCGATTTTGTAAGTGATGGTGAGGCTGGCAAAAGCTGCTAGAGGCAGTGGAAGAGTTGCTGCGGGTGAGCTTTCCCCTGTAAGGATTATCAAAACTTCAGTTCAAGTTGGCTATGTGTCTTCTGATTCCGGGATATTTTTGGTTGGTATGGTTGTAAACTATGTATTTATCCCAGCTACATGTTCATCTTGCATCTTACTATGTTAGGTGTACAAGCAAAAAAACATTGTACGATTTTTTTATTTACCGAAGAAATATTGTTCGATTCAATGCCTCAGAAAAGAGGAAAAAAGACGTGGAACTGACTTTTCTGAAGTGCATTTGTGAATACTTCTTACTCCTCAAGTATTTGAGGATTATATCGATTTGGTGTATTTGAAATTGCGTGCACAGTTTTGAATGTAACATACATCAAAAGTGTCAAAAGAACGATATATTTGATAAATTGAATGCAATCTCGAGGGAGCAACAAACAAACCTGCTGCAAGGCTAGGAATATCGACGCCAGTAGCTGCTAAGATTTTCTTGATCTTGTCTTCAACATTGGACAAATTTGCTGCAGGACTTGGCCAATCTGTGCCATTCATGAATGCCGGTTTCCAAACACCTCGACTTACTTCAGCTGAGAAGTAACTAACAATGGTTGCCAAACATGCAGGGAGAAAATCTGCTAAGTTTTTCAGCCCTGAGAGTTCAAAAAGAATTTCAGTTGATCACCCGTCCAGATGCAAAAAGATAAAAAAAAAAAATTAGAGCTTTTCATATTCACAGCTTTCCAACTATGCTTCAGTTACACTGACCTGTGGCGAGTTCACGAGGATAAAGTCTTCCATGAGCACAGGCTGTTAAAGCAGCATCAACCGCAAAAGGGACGGCTTCTAAGATTTCCCAGGAAGGTAAGTTAGGTCTAAGAGAAGAATCATCATTTCCTGGTCCAGATGAGCTACTACTTCCGGAGTTAATAGTAGTGACCGACTGGCTACCTCTATTCATTTTTCTGAACATCATGGTAAGAAGGAGATTCACAGTCTGGTGAACTGGAGTTCCCTCAACAAGACCAGAGAGGGCTGAAGCTATGCACTTCTGGTGTTGCCTATACCAGCACTTGAGTTTTGGAAATGAATCCAAAAACACTGGGTGTGGAGAAGATGAAGCCGCCACCTCTGAAAGTCTCCGTTTGGTTTGATCGTTGAGGACTATTCCAGAGGAGGGCAGGTAGGAGTTTCTTACCAGCAGAAGATATTCAGGAGTTAGCTGAGATCCGACTGTTGGGACATCTCCAACGCCATGTTCGAGAGGGGGATGGTTGAATCTCCATAGCTTCAAAAGAACAGCAAATGCATTTGAGAACACAGCATGGGCAGAGATTTCATCTCCAGTGGGGAGCTTCCATGACACATCCGGAACACATGATCCGAAAACCTCGCAGATTGGCATCAATGAGCAAGCGAGCTGTGGAATCTGACAAGTCAAAGGAAAGACAAACTCAGTTGAGTTGCTTTACTAAGAAATGGCATTGTATCTTTATCCAGTTTTTTTACAGAAATGATTTGACACTGAGATGTCCACGTTGTTCCTATACCCTATTCAATCTTCAATGGTGAAAATTGTAGAAAGTATTTTTGGGTTAATGACACTTTACGCTCCTGTGCTGTGAAAAGAAATCAAACATGCATTATTACTAAAATTTGGTATTTCCAGTCTCCAGGCCTTTATACTATGGAAAGTTATCAAACGTGCCATTCCATCCAAATTTCAGCAATTCTTTCATAAAGTGTGGGTCTTTTGGTGACTCAATTTACGTTAGAGCTCGCATGAGCTTTGCACAATAAACGGTCACCAACTGCTGGAAACCAAGGTAAGTGATAGGGAAGGGAGAAAAGAGGAATTTTGACAAAGAAACACATATCAGTATCAACAGACTCAGTAAAGCACGCAAAATAGAGAAGGTTTACCAAAAGGCAGGACAAAGTGTTTAATGCACAGAATCTTACCAAGCCATGTAGCGAGAAAACCTGAACACAATCAACTGGTGCTATGCCAACAATTAGTACATTCAAGATAAGGGCAATGCTTATCAAATGGCTTTCATCCCCTGAATAATCTGCAGGCATAGGGGGAGAGAGTAATCTGGTAATGAACTGAGCAGTGTGTTCCTGCATCAAATTCAGAGACAGCAGCGTACGTAATGAAACTCGTTCACCTTCCAAATTGTGATCGAAAATAAGGACAAGCAAGAGAAAAAGGGGCACAAAACTTGGACAAGAGATAATCAGCCAGAAGAAGTCTTGCAAACAAAAAAGAGGATGCATAAATTACCTGTATGTTCCAACCACGAAGAAGAGAAGCACCACAGAGAATAGTAGCAGCTGATACCTTCTCATCGTCTGATCCTTTAACTGCTAGCTCAAATACTTTCTCCAGCTCTGCTAAACTTCCATAAAATCCATGAGCTTAAATTCAGTTGCTTTACCCTTTGTAAAAATTAACAAAAAGATCGTCTGATATAACTGGCTTCAGGAAAGCAAAAGGAATAACTGAAGACCAGGCTAGCACCACTAAACTTTTAAGGACAACTAGGGTTTCTTACAGAGATTTACACAATGAGATTCTATGAAATTGGGCTCCTATGGGAGAGATGTCATATCAATAAGGCTTGAGAATTTTTCATGATCATATTTTGAGCAGGAGCATCTTGAGAGCAGACACTTATAGCAAACACTTCAGGAGGGATGTTATTATACCTTGAAGCTGGTGTTGAAACCATAGCATTGATCATGATTGGAGTAAGAGGGGCACCCTTCAAGAATGCAGACCAACCAGGCATCTGAGGTGGGGCATTAGGTATATGGTTAATGTGACCATTCACATACCCAGGCCAAAAATATGCTGATGTATCCAACAGATTTCTTGCTATACAAGCCTCAACAATCAGATGGCGCATGTTTCCAGCTGAAAGGCAAATGGAAACAAGTTTTATGAGCTTCCTATAACCTAAATTAGACTGAGAACCTGAAAATAGGCCAGAGAACTCGACTTCAAACGGTACAAGAGTACAAACAACTTACAACACTTGACAGGCATCTCATTCATGCTGAGACAATCAAGGTATGCACTCCCAACACTGATGCCTGAAACGAGTAACATAGCCTTTGCAGCAGCCTGATTGGCCAGTGACAAAACTGAATGAGGTGGACTCAGCAAACTGTGGTAGTCACCCAATAACTTTATGCTGGAGACCACATCATTGCGACGGCTTCCTGGAACCTTTGAGGAATCATTTTTCAGTTCATTGATATCCACACTTTTCTCTTCCTCAATGAGCTCAGCAACCACAAGGGGTATAATGGATAGAAGCATGCACAAACGTGTATCCAAGCGAGGAA